ATTGTGTGAAATATGATATGTGTAAGGAGTGAACAACGTGATGACAGCTGAAAAGAAATGGAAGAAGAAAACAGATTGCCCTGAACCCAACTAATGGGATAAGGAAAGGAGGATTACACTGTATGTCTTGCATCCCTTGAATCAAATATCTTGCTCAGACTTTGCCCGAGTCTTGACACGTTTATTAGAAATAAAACAAAACTAGGGAGGGGCAAACTCTTAATTTAATGGTCCATAAATAAATTGTATCCAAATTATACAAGACTTTATATTAATTTCTAACTTTTAATCTTGTTTAGAACAAACTTGAAGGTCTTAAGGTCTTTAGGGAGAAATTTCAACTTTACAAGTTAGGCTGTCATATTCATCTAAAAGTAATTTATCGTGTCTAACAAACTACACAGGTGTTAAGATGAAACTATAATGGTTTATTGAATCTGTATATGTTGTACGTCATGTACGCCTAATACCTTAGCTTTAAAAGTTTTATATCATACTTAAGCAACATATCTATTGTTTACATATGAAAATGTGAGATGGGTTAATCAATAAGATCGCTGCGTACAGCGTCCAATTCAGTAAGATCAGAGTCGGATTTAACGTCGCTCGGGATCATTTACAAAAGTCTTTAAATCCAACCTAATCGGCATACGTTAAAAGCACCTTTCAAAAACAGATTTAACGTAATTGGAAACCATTCATAGGCCAAATGGTGTTTTAGATCTGAAAATAATCATTTCATTTCCAACAGGTACATATATAAAGAATGTTATATGTAAAATAGAAGCCAATTTCAGAATAATGAAAAGACTAATGAATAATGGTTTTTTTTAAATATAATATCAAGTGACGGGACGAACAAGTTGTGTGCTTTCTTCTCTCTTATCTTTAAATCGCAAAGACTTGAGTAGCACTGCCACTGCGTCCGTCATCCTGAGACATAAGTTCACAAGTCCCATATGCCTGTAATTTCACCAGTACCCTTACCCTTCATAACCGGAACACAGTAATGCTGACATTACTGCTTGGCGGCAGAAATAGGTAAGTTGACTAAACTCTAAAACTAAAAGTAAACTCAATTAAAGTTTCCTGAACAAATATAGGTAACAATGTTTAAGTACAACTTTCGCATAGGAAATAAAACTATACTATGTCAGTCAACCGTGACCATGGGACCTGTAAAGGGCCCGAAACGTCGGTTTATTTGAAAAAACAAATATACGCGATTTTAATCCGGAAAAATAGTTTCATTTCCTATGTGTAACAATTGCGAAAACCTAAGAACTCGATATATAACTTTCGCGTTTGTTTCTAGGGAGATGTACTTAATTAGGGGCACACGTGAATTAAGTATAAGGTAGCAAAACGATTACCTTAGCATATTAAACATTGCGAAGGGACAAACAATTAAGTTGTAATGTTTGGCGCCCTGTTGGCTAAAGGCACTACACTGACATAAGAGATAAGACGTGGAATCATTACGATTAAACTTAGTCACGTGCGCCATTTGTTGCTCGCAATTGCACATACTAAAAAAATACAATTGAAGCCATTGTATCAACCCCAATAGCTATTACATCAGTAAAATGATATACAGTGATTTCTACACGGTGTGAAAACACGATTCCCAAAAATTTTCACGAATTTTTTTCGTTTTTCAGAAAAAAGTGTTTTTTTTTCTAAAAAACGAACGTGTTGGTGTAAACATAACTCGAAATTTAACAAGAAAACCACTGTTTTCAATAGGTACTTTACATATACCAATGGTTTTTTTAAAATCAACTAAACTAAATAGAACGCGTATACATTTTTCAAATTTCGTATGTAAGAAAATAAATTCTGAAATAAAGCCATATTGTCCCTGCCGTGACACTGTCTTAAGTATCGACTTTCAACCTTCCTGTAAAAAAATTCAAGCATTCTTTCAATTAGACTGTTGGCTTTTTAGACGGTTAAAAAAAAGAATAGGTGGTCTAGGATAGTCACAACAATCATATAATTTGGCTTATAAAGGTATACATCGGTACGTATATTTGTTTGTGAATGTACGTAATTATGTTCAAAGTTTATAGTCGCTGGCAACCGAGTAAAATATTTATATCGGTGTATGCAATAAGCCATACCTGAATACTAGAGATGTGTAAGTAATGCGCGTAATGTTACAATTGTGATATATCACGCGACAGTGTAATATGACATCCATCACTCATCACTTTGAAAAATTAAGCGTCACTCATAACATCACCCACCATCACTCATAGCATACTGCGCTCTAAAACACAAATCGTCGACGTTGGTCATACAGCCGCAAGCTTAATATGGAACTGGGCCGGAAACACTGACGCATATTAAACGAGCTGTGGGCAAAGACCACTAAGGAGTGGATCCCACCAAACGCAAGACGAAGCCGTGGAAATCCCCGAACGAGATGGCGCGGCGTGACGAATTGGACGCGTATATGAATGAGGTCTTGGCTTGTAGCGGCGTTAAATCGCGAAGAGTGGAAAAAGGGAAGGAAGGCCTTGTCCCTGCATTGGAACAGTAATGGCTATAAAATGAAAAAATAAATAACATCACCCAACACAATACCGAGTTTTATTGATGCACGATATTATTTATTTCAAATACAATATAGATGTTACAGAAATCCTTTTAATAGGGAATAAAATACATAGCTGTTTACGTTATTTAAAACTTGTGTCTTTGCACTGCGTAATATCTACCTGCTCTAGTTTATGCGTATCGATCGCAGCAATATTTCTAAAGTAATATAACTAAATAGCAAAACAACCACAGAGACTAGTACTTATAACACATTTCATGTTTAGTCTGTGTGATGCGAGTGATGGTGATATTTACACTGTAATGCAATGTAATGGTAATAGCACGGACTGATTCTTATTACACATCTCATTTTTAGTCGTGCAGATAATCTCGACCTATGACGTTTCAAATAAATATTGTACAAATATATATATACAACTCCTAGAGTTTCTCGTTCATTTTTCTCAGGGGAATGTGCCTTACGAATGATCAGTAGAGTTTAATCAATATGACGATTTAAAGTGTAATTTGCTTACCTATGAAATAAAAGTTATTTGAGTTTGAGTCGGTGGGATGTTGTGAGTAATGGTGATATCGGACTATAATATCATATTTACGGGTATCTAATGTGATATTACATTACTTTTCGAGGTACTACTGCTTTGCCCATGTCTGCTGAGTACAGTCTACAAATTTATCTTTTTATGAAAATTTAGCGAAACGCCTTTCCGGCTATAGACCTTCTGACATTTTAAAATGATTTAAAATTTTTGACGGACGTGGGCCATACGTGGGTATACTTACGAACTTAATGAGTAATAATGGAACGCGTACGGGACATGCAAGCAAACATTCATTTGTATATCTATAGATGTCTCAGAATTCTCAAACTTGAAAAATGTCCGGTATACCTACGACAAAAGACATCTGTCAGGTATACCTACTTCAGAAACATTTTTGGGAAGACATATTATGTCTTACAGAATTGTACATATTTTTAGGATAATGAAAAAATGTATTGTGTTGTAAGTGTCTAAAAATGGTAAGTACTCATTAGTTCCATTATATAAAAAACATTTAATTTTTAATTATCTACTTTTTATTTATTTTGTCCTATTTTATGTAGCGTATGCATTTTAAATGTAGTGATCTAAGTACAGATCCATATGAAATGTATTTGTCATTGTTTCTTGAGGGAGATCTACGTCCAGCAGCGAATATCTTTTCATTAAAATAACGATGCAGAACAAACATCCAATGACTTGATGTAATTTAATTATTGAATATAAGATTCCAAAATCACTATATTGGCATTTGTTGTTTTTTTTTAATTATTTTCTATTCTCTATCATTAAATTGTGAAAAAAGCTGCAGTAAATTATCCAGCGGTTGCGACGTGTGAAAATTTTCTTGTTAAAATACATCTGTATCTACAAGATTCAAGTTTCTAACTATAATGTTTGTAACTGTCTATGTAAGTAACCTTTCTTCATTTTTTTTTTCTCATTAAGGAGGCAGAAGGCAGGTTCTTAACTGCAAACCAATATATTTAGAAATAGGCAAGGAGGCAATACTTCAGAGAGCTTCACTTTTACTTATGTCATGAAAAGTGACGTCATGTGAGACTGCTAGAGCCACTTTAGCCGTCTCAGACCGTTTGGAACTATGGGTATGTGTACCTCAAGTGTCAATCCTTTTATTTAAATTTTGTAATTAGTATTTTCTATTTCAATTTCACGACAACGACTTTATCAAAATTGCTACATTGACTTACAATTATATGGACGTCGGGTCCGCGCTAAAAAGTGTCCGCACTTGTAAGGCGCTAAAATCGTATTCATTTGTTCGACTGACAGCGCGATACTGCGATGACATTACAATTTAAATTTCGAATAGGTTGACTTGGGACATTTTTTTCGTGGTTTTTGTATTAGACCCGTCGTTCATTTATTTGTAAGTCAATGAATTGCTACTACTCTGTATCATTGTACTGTCATTGTATATACGGTTGTCCGCCTGGTTTGTTTAGAAATGTCAACTCAATGTCAAAAACTGCGTTTACAAAACTGAGGCTTTTCATTTGCAATTTGGGTTTAGCAAGCAAGGCTGACGTTGAACAAAGATCCTGATAAAATATAAGGCAAAGGAACACAATGTTGTAAGCTTTGTAGAAGGTTGAGCGAGCTGGAAGACTGAAAAATATCATTCCCTTTGTTTTAACGTCAGAAGTACTCGTAAAATTGCTTTTATTTTCATATTTCACGTTAAACACAGAGCTTTCTTCTCACAGGATTTTCGGGACGGTGTCCTGACTACAAACAATTGTTCTTAAAGTTCATTTTCCTTTAACAGCGTAAAAAGCTATAAAAATACGACAAAAGATAAAAGAGCTTAAATTTAAATGAGTTTAATTAGGCATTACATTTGTGACGTGTATATTTTAAGTAGGTACTTACATAGTTGTACTTCAAATCGGGGTGCATGTAATCCACACCTGTAATAAAAGAAAACAAAATTGTTTAAGAACATTAACAACAAAAAATCATCTTTCAAGAGTAATCAATCAGAAACGACTTTAACAAACATTGTTTCTTCACAATATAGAAAACCACGAGAAACATTTTAAGACTTTGTAAGAAGCGATACTCATAAACTAAGTTTCATACTTATAATAAATACTTAAAGAAGTTGAGCCTGTACTTTTAATATTTTAACATTAAAGTCAATTGTGAAGACACCTAAAAAATTACCCCGCTTTACGAGGATGCATTGATTTAGCCAATTTGAATTCGTAGCTTCTCAATTACTAAACGTGCATTGTCACAGGTAATTCCTTCTTGGTAGGACCTTTAATTTGTAATCACATTGGTTCTGTCTGTTATCCAGCTTGAGTTTGGAGACGAAGATAAAAGTTTTAGAAAAGATGGGTTCGAATAGCACATTCGTTACAATATTTAGCTTTAGCAATATTTTACTTTTTATTCGATCATACCCTGTTCTATCCCTGGTAGCAGTCTTTAGGTATGTTAGAGACTATAAACCTAAACTATAACACCAGTCGGGTCACTCAAAAAAAGAACAACCCCGTTTTATGCGAATATTTTGTCCGTAAAGCAGGGTATTACTGTAATTATAAGTTAAAAAATATTTTTAATACTAAGTGATGTTGCGCGCGCCGCTCAGAGCAATCACAAACTTCTGAGGGCACAGCCACTACGCACACAATTTTAATCAGGTTATAAGCAAAAGTGTACTAGGTACCATTTTTTGCCACTTCGTGTACGTCGAGACGTTTTTGATATCAGTTTTCTGATGAAGATCGCCAACGGTAATATCGATTGTCCAGAATTATTGTCACACATAAGCCTGCACACAAACCTGTTGCAGTACAGTCTGCAAGTGCCGTTTGCGATCACTAATTATAGGCAAAACACGTACATGATTGTGTGCATTTTGTGCATTGACGTATTAACAATGCAACAGTAAATCACTGTGAATTTGATTTGTTTGATATATACGTACAAGCATAAACACAATCAGGCGAGAAATGACCAAAGGTCACCGTGACACATCACGTGACTGACGGTGATTACATAATTGTCCATTATTTGTGTTTTTTTTTGTAACTGTGTTCTTGTTTTTTTTTTCTTTTTTCATAAAACCTTTTTTTGGCTTCATAAGCACTTTAAATTGTTTCATGTTGGTGGAAATTCGTAAATGGCATTGGGTTACTCATATTTAAGTATACCATTTGTCCGTAAATTTTCCAAAAATGTGTAAATAAATAAAATAAAATAATAAATAATGAAATCGGTTCACAAATGTCGGAATAATGGCGTAACATTCACAAAAAACTAACTAATTAGGAACCTCTTTCTTTTTTTAGAAGGTAAAAAAGGTATTGAATATATGCACTCATCGTTATGTAAATGTTACGGCAATGACAAAGTTAGGCTTCACTATAAAAGCTTTATTAAAACTAAACACCTCTGTTAACTATCAGCCATCAAATTTTTTTTGTTAACGCAACAATGTTTTTGTCAGTAAATATGTGTTACACGCAAGTTTATCTCACAATTGCTATCTTTTTAGTATTTGGCAATAAAAGTTATCGACTTTGGATAACTGCGAATAAAAGCCAATTAGGGAAAACGAATGGTCACTTGAGGAGGATTCCGATTTTCGTCGGATATTTACGATTTATCTCACAATTAAATTGATTCTCTTCAATTTCCTTTATTTAATAGGCATTCAACATTTAATTTCATTACTAAAAACTTTTTTCATTTTTGTTCTACATCGTACGTATAATTTTTTTATGATACCAAGTAACGGTACGAACAAGTCGTGCGCCTGGTGGTAAGCATCACGCTTGTCCATAACAGTTGCAGAGCCACTCAGAGCTTTAAATCGCAAATATCTGAGGGGCACTGCCACTGCGCCCGTCACCCTGAGACATAAGTTGACAACTCCCATGTGCCTGTAATTTTACCAGCACCCTTCAAAACCGGAACGCAGTAATGCTCACATTACTGCTTCGCGACAGAAATACGTAAGACGGCAGTATTTCCCGGGACGAACTCTTTCACAAGGAGCTCTACTGCTATTAAATCATAAGCAAAGTCCAGGCAAAAGTTCTCCTGTCACAACATATGGTGGCTAGTAAAACAAATAAAACAAAATTTATGAAAAAATAAGTGCACATTCCTCCATCTCACGTGACATAAAGGGAAAATCAGGTCGACGATGGAGCAAGCACACCTAAATAATGCCTATTCACTCTAATCGTGAAAAGGCCCAAGTTATAGTGGTCAGGGAATAAGTCTGCAGGCAAGGGATTCCACTACATAGGCGTTCGCCATATAAATGTGGAAGCGTAACGCTTCTTGCGAATCCTTGGAATATCCACAACATCGGAGCGGAATCCCAGCCACGTCTAGTCCCACGATGATGGAAAGGGGAAAGCGGAATTAAATCGTGCAATTCCATTGCACACTTTCCTTGATATATCCTGTAGAATACCGGTAAACAGACAACTTTACGGCGTTGTTCCAGGTTCGCGAGTCACCTATAAGCCTTTGATATGCTTTTCAACTGAATCGAAAGTGGCCAGTTGGAATTTAGCAGAACCATCCCTTAAGTAGTAGCAGTACCTCATACACAGCAGGACTTGTGCTGGGTACAGCTGAAGCAACTGTACCAGTGTGAAGTAACGCCTCACTTTGGAAAGACTACCAAACTTCCTGGCCGTATTTTTCGCCAAGGATTCAATGTTTCTGCCGAAGGTCAAATTAGACGACAGGTCCACTCCAAGTAGCAAGAGACGATCGGCTAGGTAATCTAGTTTGATACGTTTAATATTTATACATGAACATTTCTTTTACGGATCCTGTAAATTAATATGAAACGCAAAAATACTTCCAAGATGGTCATTTATTATTAAACGTTGATACGTAACTGCATTCGTTGTTCAACTGTACTCGTGACACACGTGCAAAACTTGTCCTGAGCGCCTCAACGGCCTTTGAGTAGTTGGCTGCGCTGGGCGGATAGCTCATAACGAGTTGATGGACCGGGCTGTTCTCTGTTGTAGCTTGTAGTAAGTATTGAAAGTTGTCAATATTATCCATATCCTAATCATCGTGAATTTTCCAGAACTAACCCCAAAATTGGATCCAATTCCTGACGTTACCGTCGAACTTGGGTAGTTCTAGTCTTAGCAATTTTACGTTATTTTTTTACGTAAATTATAGTATACTTCAGTGCTACCGGAGTGATTCAATACTAATGACGCTTCACTATTTTATCTGGTCAAAGAGGCAGCTGACGGTTGCTTGTTCAATCTATTATGGACAGGCGTGTAGCTTCTTGCACAGGCACAACTTGCTATTACTTGATATTATAAAAAATATATATTTAGTGTTTACCTCAGCCCAACGTTGTTTGTATTCTAAGGCATTTTCTTGGTCCTCTATAAAATCTGCTTCAGGAAAGTCTTCAAATTGCAATAGGCGAAAATGTACCTCTGCTACGTCTCTGAAGGTAATGATTGTACGTTGTAAATAAAATGCGTATAGGAATTGTTTCCTCAAGTGTTGCAAAATTATTGCCAGAGTAAAGTAGTTTTGCGCTTCAGTGGATTTATAACTATCTTGTTAGAATTGTAGATTAACATCTCTTCACGGTCGCCGTTATTTTACGGATGCTATGTAAATTTATATAAAACGCAAAACTATCTACTTCATGTGGATTAACAAAGGTGTTACATAATAGTATTCCAGCATATGAACCCTGTAAGGGCATTACAATGATATTAACTTAATTAATTTTATTATTAATCTCGTACGCGTATTATTGTACGTTATGCAACTGGATTATTTATTTAACCGTATTCGTGACAGGGTCACGAGTTATGCTAACATAAGAAGCTACTTGTGTATTATATTCGTGCATTACCAGCTAGAAGGGCGTTATGGTGGAAAAGGTAGGAAAGGGGAACGTTAGTTTCGATCTATTAAACTCTGTCTTTGACATCCGCCACCTAACGCAATCATAACGGATTGCTATATTGACATCCGCCAATTGCACAAAGAACCTTTTAGAATACTATAATTGCTATATTTCTCCGCTTATATCCACGTAAGGTGCAGAGATGATCACTCAATTTAAGTGAGTTAATAGGAATGGTGTGTTTGAGCTTCATTTTAATTATAAGTGTAAGTTAAAGTATTGTTGTGAGTGAGCAGAGTAAAAACATTATGATATTCGATACGTTTGTTATTGCGGCTGACTCCACTCAAAGTATCATTATATCTAGTGTTCTTTTTACTATTTGTGTCAATGTGCTTTAATTTACTCAATTTTTTTTAATACATTTTATTGTTCATTTTTTGTTTTTGTTTCGTAATTATTTATTTATGTTTTACGTTGAATGTTTTAATTATGTTTTGCTTTTCTTCTGTTTTCTTTCGTTTTTTCTTGTTGTGTCATTGTAGTAAACAAATAAATGTATTTTCTTTCTTTCTTTCAATACAAATAAAATATTGCAACTGTACACAGTTGTAGTCAAAATAAGAATAAATAATATGAAAAAGTGTATTTAAACTTACCGTCATCCATAATCGCTGTAGTAACATTGACCCCTGTGTACCCCTGGGCCCAAGCCGCCTCCACATTTAGATCTAATTTAGGCTTCCCCCCATTTTGGCCGGTATTCTTCAGGTACCACTGCAGTGGGAAGTAGGGGTCCCTGGGCTCGGCAGCAGGAGGCGTCTCTGGGAGACGGAGGGGGCGGAAACCTCGCTTAACGCGCTTAAAACCGGACTGCTGGATAGCTGTGTGGATCTGTGGAAGAATTTATTATCAGTATCATCAGTTTAAGCTGTATGTGCTGACCTACAAGATAACAAAGAAAATACCACTTCAAATCAAAAAGCTTTTTTGATGTATAATCACATGTGGCTTTGTTATACCAAGGGTACGACATTATTAGTCGTACCCTTGGTTACGGCGGCAGTTAACAGCGTATATGGTTATGCATTTGAACCCGCAGTGTCCACTCGAGAACCATAAGTGATTATCACAGGTTTATACGCTGAAAACTGTCTTACCCCCTTAAACACAATAAGCTGTTCGCCAAAACACCACCTTCCTCTTCAAATACCGGGTGTTTACAAAGTGAACCGCAGTTGTGGGAGTAATAGTTCTAGCAGCGATAGAACTCCTTATGAAAGAGTTCGTCCAGGGAAGTACTGCCGCCTTACCTATTTCTGCCGCGTTTGAAGGCTAAGGGTGCTGGTGAAATTACAGGCACATGGGTCTTGTCAACTTACGTCTCAGTATGACAAGTGCAGTGGCAGTGCCCCTCAGATCTTTGCGATTTAAGGCTCTATATGGCACTGCAATTGTTATGGACAGGCGTGTCGCTTACCATCAGGCGCACAACTTGTTCGTGCCGTCACAAGGTATCATAAAAAAAAGAATTTAGATTTTTTTTCAATAGTTGAAAAATAAGTTGAGACAAGCTTTACAAAATCGTTCTTAAAAGATGTTAATTTTATTATGTTAATTTGATAAAGATAAAGATGTTAATTTTATTTTTGTTGCTTTGTATCTATTTTTTGTTTATTTAAATATAAACGTTACTAACATAGATAAAAAGCTCAAAGTCACTCAACGACTAATGGAGCGAGCAATGCTCGGCCTTTCGTGATCGAATCAGAAATGAGGAGAACCGTAGAAGAACGAAAGTCACCGACTGGAAATCTTTGGGGGAGGATGTATATTTCTTTTTTGTTTCACTAAATTTACCGTTGTGTGTTAAATAAATATATTTAGATGCAAGCATTGACTTACAATTATATGGACGTCGGGTCCGCGCTAAAAGTGTCCGCACTTGTAAGGCGCTAAAATCGTATACAGAGCGCCAAACTCCGCTTTAGTCTTCATTTGTTCGACTGACAGCGCGATACTGCGATGACATTACAATTTAAATTTCGAATAGGTTGACTTGGGACATTTTTCTCGTGGTTTTTGTATTAGACCCGTCGTCCATTTATTTGTAAGTCAATGGATGCAAGTCATGATAACGCAAATTTCAAAAAAGGAAGGTAAATAATAATATTTATCTACGTAATACGCAGACTCTGCTAGCGTAGCTTATTAGATTTTCTCCTATTGTACAAGGGTCTGTTTGGATAACAATAATCTCAGCATTGGAGCTACTTAAGTCTCTGCTCTATTCGTTACCTAGTACGTGCCTCATGAATATCTAACAAATAAGGTGAGGATGGAATAAGTAGGGCCTTACTAAAACCCTGTCTTTACGAATAAAATAAATCCTTTTGCCTGTTATGTAATAATAATAACGTACACACTCAATATAGCCCCGCACTAGGGAAACCCTGTGTCGCGGTGCCATGAACACACACATAGACAACCACAAATTACACCCAAACTCACGAGAGAGAAAAATGTAGGCCACACAAATATTTCTCCCGGCCCGAGAATCGAACCTAGGATCTCTGCGTGGCCGTCCGGCATGGTAACCGTTCGGCCTCGAAGGCAGTTATATAAATATATAAGTTGTTTCAAATAGAAAAAGCCGCCAGTCAAATCGAGTGACACACTCGCTGAAGGACCTTATTACGGTTGAAGCTGTTGAAAGCAATCTGTAGCGCGTGACCAAGGTGTGCCCAGACCGTATACATTGCTCGCCATCCGTCCCCCGTAGGGACTCCCACTTCTATCCGCCTCTTGTACCCATTGGGGAGCAACTACGGCGCGTTGCCGCGATATGTCCAGGTCGTGCGAGTTGCTCACCCTTCACCCCCGTATCCTATATCCAATTAATTACGATAGTTAATACAATTCTAGTAAAGAGTGACGGTAAGAATAAGTAATGCGCCTGGTGGTAAGCGACACGCCTATCCTTATGGATGGACCTACACTGCGCCTTCCGATACGCAGTCGCAACTCGAGAACTCTTTGGCCCTTCGCATCAGCTGTCTGTTCTGGGAGCAATGTGCCCCGCCCTCTGCCACTTAAGTTTTGCAATTATTTGGGCTGTCGGTTACTCTGAGCCTGAGCCTGCTGAGTGAGTTGAGCCTTCTTATGAGGCCTATAGCGAACGACACCATTTCAGTGCCGAAGTCGCCGTGAAGTCCGTATTAACCTACGGATCTCCGTACTGTAGACCTGTGCACATATGATTTTACAATGATGTATATTCTAATACGACAAACGTAGGTAGTTTGTGTATGAATTATCAACCTTGTACAGTGGACGTCAAAGTCAATATTTTGTTATTTTTATTATGAGTAGGTAAGTTATTCAAAACTTTCAATTAAATCGGGAAAAAGTGATCGTAGTTGGGAAACTTGGAAATATTTATTAATTACTTAGACACTTCCTTATTGAAAAGGGGATTTTTTATTTCTATTTAAAACTACTTAGTGCCTACTTGAAAAACAATAAATTAGAAGAAAGAAAGAGTATTTATATAAAAAAATAACATGGGACAAAATAAACTAGTCTACGAGAGAAGAGGGCGTCCCCTTGTCGCTCTCATTGAAGTTATAGGAATTCTAGCTTTAAGTAAACTCTCATAAGAATCATTGTATATAGAGTTATCTCGTATTGAGTAACGGAACTCCAAAAGCAAGTAGTTCATGTTAGCTGTTTTATATGACCGTTTAGAAAATATATCAAATGTAGAAGTTTTACAAAAGCTTAGAGAAGAAAGAACTCTTTTAAAGATAGTAGGGAACAGAAGAGCCTACCGAACCTCGAAAGCAATTGGTGGGCGTTGATGCTGTCCAGGGGGAGCTACTGCATTTGAAAAAATACCTGAATTATCTATACATATAAACAACACATAGGCCATAATCTTTGAGGGAGGCCTATGTTCGGCAGTGGACATCTTCCAGCTGACATGATGATAATGATAAATTACACTATACAGACGACCTCCGTGGTCGAGTGGTATGCACACCGGTTTTCATGGTGTCGCCATCTCTGAGGTCCCGGGTTCGATCCCCGGCCGGGTCAGTGTAGAAACTAACTTTTCTATATTGTCTCGGGTCTAGGTGTTTGTGGTACCGTCGTTGTTTCCGATTTCCATAACACAAGTGCTTTAGCTACTTACTTTGGAATCAGAGCAACGTATGTGATATCTAATATTTATTTATTATTATTATTAGTGGTGGGCGTTAAAATTTGTTTATCTTGCATAAGTGGGCGAGGAGCCAAAAAGTTTGAGAGCCTATGGGCTACATCGACAAGAGCCTGGCTTTTTAAAACGATGATGATTTAATATAGCAATAGTTACCGGGCACAATTAGGCTCAACTCACACTGGCGCAGAGTCGAAGCGTCGTGACGCGTCATGTTTTTCGCCTATAGCATATTCATCTATATTTTCCAATTATTAAGATACAAATTTGTGTTATGCAAATATGGAAACAAATATGCAGTCGAGCGGCTTCGCACGTCGACGCGCGTCATTCCATTCCGTTCCATTCCAGTGTGAGTTGAGCTTTGAAGTTCATTTTTACGTGAAGATATTTACTATTTTGTCTAGTGTCGTTTGACAAATGTATCCAATCGAGACTGTATTATCTTAACATGTAATGTAACATTAACTGCTTCCGTGGCCAAACGGTTACCATGGTGGTCTGCCATGCAGAGCTCCCGGGTTCGATTCCCGAGCAGGGATATTTGTAGGGTCTACATTCCTCTCGTGAGTTTGGGTGTAATTTGTGGTTATCTATAGTTTTCCTAGTGCGGGGCTATGAGTGTGTGCGTGTGTGCTTTATTAAATTTCCAAATACCAAAGCCGCTTGGTACATTTACCGCTAGTTAGTTTATTACATCATAAACGACAATGTTAATTTTCATAATACATTAATATTATACTTACTCCGCATTAATATTAGACAGCTACTTACGTAATTATAAACTTTACAAAGCAATCACACATAATAACAAAATTTTGTACAAAAAGAAATATAATTTAAGAATTTACTCAGAGGTAATCAGGGCTTGATTGATTGATGCTACATTAATATCTCAATGTTCCCGACGTGTTCTGATAAATAAGATAGAAAGTAATTATTAAATTTTATTCTTTTCAACTGTGAATAAAATTTTTCACATTTTCAATTGAATTTTCACAATTGAATTTTAAATATAAAAAGAATTGAGATTCATTAATTTAAATTCAGAAATAGATGTTATATTTTACTTTGCCGTTTTCAGAAAATTCTGTTGCCAAAGTCATCGAAACTAATATTATAAATGCCAAGTCTGTCTGTTACGTTCTCACGCCCAATTTTGATGAATTTTAATATGAAGACAGATGGGACCCATGACAACCATACATATAGGCTTTTTTTTGTAATACCAGGTGACGGGATAAACCAGGGCGCCTGGTGGTAAGCGACACGTCTGTCCATAATAGTTGCAGTGCCACTCAGAGCTTCAAATCGCAAAGATCCCGGGGGCAGTGTCACTGTGCCCGTCACCCTGAAACATAACAAGTCACTCAGATCGCAGTGGCAGGCTCCTCAGATCTTTGCGATTTAAAGCTCACAGTGGCACTGCAACTGTTACTGACAAGCGTGTTCTTACCACCAGGCGCACGACTTGCTTGTCCCGTCATTTAGTATCATAAAAAAAATTCATCAGCACCTTTAAAAACCGGAACGCAGTAATGGTCAAATAATTGCCTGGCGCCAGAAATAGGTAAGGTGGCAGCACTCCTCTGGACGAACACTTTCACAAAGAGCTCTACTGCTACCAAATGGCTACTTTTTGGTACAAAAATAAATCTTAAAGGAGGTGAAATAGGGGAAAAAAGTTTGTAAGGAAATCTATGAAAATTGCTTAAGTACAGTAGGATAGTAGAGGTACCTACTTATTCGACGAAGTCACAGGCACCAGCTAGCAATTTATAAATGTATTATTTATAAATTACCTTTTTAATGTATTTTTTTTACTTCTAATCTTTGATGTCACTGAGTCCTGTATCTTACGCCTACTATAAGAACAGAAAGTTAAAAAAAAAAGTTACTGTCTTGTCTGATTTTATCGCAAATTCCTTGCTAAGAAAAGCGGAGAACTGTGAGTTAACATTGTAATCTTTTAGAAAGCACTCAAAGTGTCTGTATTTACTAAAGTAGGCATGTAACAGACAGCGCTAAACTTGAGAAACAACTGTAGTAACTATATGTATGTGTGCACAAAAAACGATTTCTCTACAAATTGCCTTGAAAAAGAACTTCAAAAAGCTCCAATATTTAAGTACACAGTTTAATAAATAATGACACAACATTACGAGCAAATTATTACCTTTGGTGTAAGAAGTTCTATCTGAAAACTGACAACTTTTCAGGAGAGAGGTTTTAAATATTTTACGAACGAATTTAGTCGATGCCATTTTTTTGTTTAAATATTAACAAAAACAAAAAAAAATTCAAACAAACAAAACAAAGAAAATTCTTTGTCATAATAACTATAATTTCACCAACGTCCTCACTCTTCTAAACCGGAACGCAGTAATGCTCACATTACTGCTTGGATGCAGAAATAGGTAAAGTAGCAGTGCTTCCCTGGACGAACTCTTTCTCTACTACTACTTAAATTCCCATAATACAAGTGCTTTAGTTACTTACTTTGGGATCAAAGCAACGTGTGTGATTGTCTAATATTTATTTATTTAATTGATATATAATACTCACAAGTGGATGTTGTTTGAGGATGCGCGCATGTGCGATAGAGCGGCGAGGGCGCGCGTGTGGCAGACCACGGTGCGCGAAGTGCCATTCTGTGTCAGACCCCAGTACCTGTAACAACCAGAAACAATACTAATGAAAATCAAATTTTATTCTTTACTATTAAAATTTTTAATTTTATTGACAATCTAGCCGATCCTCAGACGCCGCTTAGATAATTGTCTATGCTGTTATGTTATAATTGTTAATACAAAGATCGAATACAAAGAAAATTCCTTCGATCCGGCTGGACACGAACCAATGACCTCGCCATACCAGGCCCATCGCTCTCCCGACTGAGCTACGGAACGAGTCAGCAGACCTTACGAATTTCTATGCGTGTTTTTTTGTTTTTAACGACTTTTTTGACCTGTGAAAAATCTATGAAAGTTTTTACTCACACACCAAGACTGGCTGATAATGAGCCTGATCCCAGAGCCAGAAAATTTAAGTTTTAATGTTCCATATCTAGCAACAGGTTGCTTATTTTATTGGTATAGAGATCAGAACAAACTACAGATTTAAATTCAAGTACTTTCCTTTATTTTTTACGCATTCACGTTATACTTAACGTAAAAAAATATACAATTTTTCATTCTTTAACTCTGGAACGTTTTATCCAGAGAGGCAGGAAACTTTTCCATTTTATATACACATTCTTGCGAAAGTAGCTGCCAACCTCCCAGTCATCGGAATCTTTCTACGAATTGAACTGAAAGCTCCTTAGCGTGTAGTTTACTCTGTGGTCTCAGGTATCATAATATGCGATGTAAAAGTAACCATTCCTGATATTTGTTTGAATGAATATCATGTTTTATTATCATGATATTGATTTGTTTATTTTGTGAAAATACTCCACTAGTTTGGTATTATTAATGATAGAAAGATTAAACAAACACAAAATTCCTTCGATCCGGTTGGATTCGAACCGGCACCTATTTACCAGACCGGGGCTAACCCGGTCCTGACTTGACGTGTTTTTCTAATAATGTTTTATGCATATTTCTTCGTTTTAGTGTAAAACTTTTCAGCAAACGCTGAGTCAAAATACTTTTGGTATAGGTATATTTGTAAAAAGCCATATTCCTATCTTCTTATTGCATGACACCTCGAGGGAAATAGCTGAGCAGGCTCAACAAAATTGGAACTTCGACGAATCCGTACATCTACGTATACTTTACCATATTATGAGTGATTTCCAATATAGCTAGCAATATGTCAAGTCGCCACGTACCCAAAAGGTATTGTCTTTTTTCTTTATTCTATTTGTTTTGTTTTCTTTATTCCGTTTACCCTTAAAGAAAGTGATAATCAACATTACTTTTTTGTTTGTATTTCCAATTCTAGCAAATCCTAACACAAAAATCCATGCTCAAAAGCGTAGAAAGCAATATTACTTTATAGCGGTAGCACAGTAAACTCGATTTAACGCCTTCTATTTGGCTATGTTAACCAGCTTTCCTCGAACATTTGCTAAGAACTTGCGAATACGATTTATTCAACAACGAAATTCAAGGCATTGTAAAACCGCATTGTTTCTGATTTTGTGAATATCAGTTTTGTTTGACTGTCTTTCAGTTTTTAAACAACACATTTGAAGGCTAGGATTGACGGTATTCGTCATTTTATTATTCGGAGAGTTAACTTTAAATAAGGGCCATTACTCACGCAACTTATTAACTATTTGAGGCGTAATAGCCATGATCTTTAATCAAACACTAAATTAACCAGAATCGACCGAGGACACAGCCTTACGCTTTTTCAGGTCAGCTAAGCTAAGCTACGAGGTAAAACGGTCTCGTTCACAAGGATGAGGTCTTAATATCCTTAGCAACACTATTCCAAATGGTATCGCAAAATCGGAAAACTTGTACAAGAACTAGTTTCTTCTCGAAACGCTTGCAATAATAAAAGGTAATCTCCTCGCCTCTACTAAGTAATCCAATTATCAACCAAAGTAACGGATAATTCACGTATGTGAGTCGAATTTTAGCTCAACATGGGTCGAAGTTTCGAAGTTACTGTGCCAGTGCGATGCGAAGCTGCACAAATGTGCTAACACATATTGCATCCCACAGTAGTCACCTACCCCTCTTCCACGACACCAGAGTCATAACAAATTAGTACCCTACCAATTTTCGTATTCGAATTATTTGAATGATCATTCACTACTAAGTAGGTAGTACTAATCCATACACTCCATAGAGCATTTCTGCTCGTGATTACCTAGCCCTTTTTTGATATATGGTAAATACCGTAAATGTGACGGGGACAGGGATATGGACATAGTGAATGATCCGAGTAGTTCCGATATCAATCGACTCGTGCACCCGTCCGAATGGCAGGGGTATTCGGTGTCGGTTTGTTTTAGACTTAGGCGAATGATTTGCCTATTAGAATTTCTAAGTATCACGGTAATATATTTTTTGAAATTAATTCAATTGTTCAGAAATAATGGGTTACCCTTGTCGTATTTTAAGTTAGCTCTCTGAAATCCACATAGAACTACTAGTCCCTTTTCTTTTTAACGATAATTATTGGACTAACAAACGGCGAAATGCTTTCACGAACCTATTTCGACTGGTGTTTACTCTGTTTCACATTTATATAGTTTGACGAGCGAACGGGAGAATTTAAATGTTACATAAAAACTACAAGTAACATAAGCGTTTATGTTCCTTTACTTTTATACTTAATCATTTCGTCAAATTCCATGTTACAGAATTGTTTCGATACAATGGAATACATGCTAAAATGGGTTGCTAGAACTAGCTTTTCACGATTTCTGCACATAGAAATGAAGCTATTTTTCCCCGACCTAAAACCTGATGTCAGCCGTAACCGTAGGACCTATAATATATAGAGTCCGAAATGTTCGCCTTTTCGATTTAGATCCGAAAAGAAATAGTTTCATTACCGATGCATTATTAATTAAAAAATAAACTTATCTCAATACAAATATTCTCTAATACCATTGTAATAACAACAATAAAAAATAAAAAGCAGGTACATAAAGCGGCTTTATTACTAGACAGCAATATCTACCCGACAACGTTCGTGTTACAAGAAAATCTTTAAAAATAATCAACGAGGGCGCAACAAAATGCGTATTTAATGCACATATTCATTGCATTGCACTTACACGAATTCTACAACCATAGCAGTGTATACCTACAGATCGAGTTAAAAGCTTCACGGCCCGCTAACTATAATGGTTAATAAACTAAATAACTTAAACAACTTTGCTCCAGATACGAGGCATAAAACTTCCTAGGAGGCGAGAAATTTCATCTAAGTTTCACTTAACCATAACTTAGAAGCTAGTCGTAGTTTCTAACGTACCTTTCTAATTAATTTGAGTACCTTCTAGGAATACTAATAAGGAAATAAACCAAGAATTGAGACGGTGTTATACTTAAGTAATAGTTTAGTAATATGTACGCCTACGTATATAAGTAAAAGAATACCTAAGTACATAAGTAAATTTGTTTTATTGCACGAAACACTTATAGTCGTAAATTATAGCCGCCAGACTCAAGCAGAAAATGTAGAGGATCTCGACAAGCTCGTTAAATTAGAGACGATTTTTAGTTGACTTTTTTTATAACATCAAGTGACGGGACGAACTAGTCGTGCTTCTGATGGTAAGCTACACGTCAGTCCATAACAGTTACAGTGCCACTCAGAGCTTTAAATTACAAAGATCTGAGAGACACTACCACTGCGCCCGTCACCCTGAGACATAAGTTGATAAGTCACATGTACCTGTAATTTCACCAGCACTCTTACCCTTCAAAACCGGAACACAGTAATGCTGACGTTACTGCTTGGCGGCAGAAATAGGTATGGTGGCAGTACTACCCTAGAGTAACTCTTTCACAAGGAGGAGGATTTCTTTTCTACTTCTACTAAACTGTGATATATTGGCAATATGTAACTGGTTTATAAGAATAGTGCTCGATGAATAATGGTGGTTTCTAATGCAATAATTCATGGACTCTGTTGTTTCTTTACTATAGTGAAGCGACGTGCTCTTTAGGTAGGTAGGCGATATTAATCAAGCCGACAGATTATGCAAGTTGATTTCGCCGTTGTATCGGTTCTGGTACCTGCCTAATAAATTATAATGAAAATAAATAAATTTGAAATAATTATATTAAATTCTTATAATTTATTGTTTCGCCGAGGTCACACGAAATCTCATTTCTTAATATATATGATACCTAATACAATGTTAAATATGACAAGTGGATAAATCGATTAAAACTTCTTTATACATTTTTATAACTGCAGCGCGTCAGGTATGTTAGCGGAGGTTGAGGTTGATAGTTTCTCAGCTATCATCCGAAAGAGCATCGCTTCTCTAATCTATCGTGTGCGTGGCAGCCCCAACAGCCTCCTGCAGACGGTCGCGGCGAGATTGGACGTGGACAGTGCGATTATGCGACACTGGACCAGCGTCCATCTCGCCAAAGACGTTAGGTTAAGTTACAATAATAATATTTTTATAAGGCACTAACATAGGATTAAGCAAATTGTTACTAACACTTATATGGATGCAAGTCCGAAATAAATGATTTTTATTTTATTTTATTTTTATTTATAAACTGTCGTTGTACAATGAATTCATTGTTTTTGAACGAATTCAAATTACGATTAAAACTTCTTCATGAATAAAATCACTTGTTACAAGAAATCGAATCGGTAACGCAAAAGGACATTAATAACGTAATAACGCGCACACACTCATAGCCCCGCACTAGAGAAAACCCTGTATCGCGGATGCCATAGACACACACATAAACAACCCCAAATTACACACAAAATCACGAAAGCTAGTCCCGGGAACCAGCGACCTCTGTAGCAGTCCAGCATGGTAACCGTTCGGCCACGGAGGCAGTTGTTAATTGATTAGTAGCAGAGCTGTGAAAAGTATAATAAATGGTTGAGCGGACTATAATGTACGACCACGGCAGAATTGAGACGATTTGTCCCACAAGCCAAAAAAAATGTACAATTTTTTACTAATTATGCGGACCCACCCTTACAGTTACAGTGCTTTGTCTGAGTTT